CCCCAAAACCCCAAAACCCCAAAACCCCAAAACCCCGTCATAACCCATCCGTATTGAAATTGCTAAAATTAATAAAAACTCAAACTAAAATGGACACTTTTTACAAATGTAAAAATCACGCTCTCCCTATGTAAGTTCTGGCTTTCAGCAGGTTAATAGCCTCCCTCTTTTTTGATGAGGGATGGAAAGGAACCCTTCAAGATTAGGGTGCCTTGATTATTGAAATCATAAGCGTTTCATGGTCTAAACATATCATTTATAGGAAATATGAGCCTATTAAGATGAGGCACACTAAAGCAAATAGCTCACCACTACAAAGAACTAAGTTCAATCTCTGCAAGGTAAACAAATACATCCATATTGAGCCTTAAATGGGTTTGAGAAGTTATAGGACAGACTTTATTTGGTTTGGAGCCTCTTTCGAGCCATATCAGGCTCCTTGGCTCACCAATTCATAATATAATAATCATGATCACTCTTTATCTCTAATAACACTCTGCACTGAGGCAGATTGACAAGAAATGCAAGTTTTGAATCGATCTTTGTCAATTACTTATTGGTTTTTATGTTTTTCAAAAACTTGAGAAACCTAAAGAGTATCATCATTAAACTGTACAAATGTGTTCACTAAAATGCGGATCTTTACTAGTTCCCTAATAAAATACTGTCTCTAACTTAATATTTAGCCACTACAGAAGCTAAAGATGGGCTTGCAGTTAAATATCTCTCCACAGATCACAGAGAAACTTAAAAAGATGGCGTTGAAGGTAGGGCTGTTTGCATCTAAATTTTTATGATGATTTGAACTTATTTGCTTCTATCCTCTCATGTTTTTATATTAACAAGAGATAATGATGTATAGAGCTAAAGTCTTTATAGAAGTCATACATGATCTCCATTGTAGGAGATCACTAATCCTGTATGCCAGCTTCTTCCTTAGCATAGTGTTTAATATCTTATTTTGGACAACAGCAAAGTTTGAAGAATATTCAAAATTTACTATAATTGTGGTTGACTTCTCCAGCAGCCCCTAAATTAAATAAATTTTCTTCAAGACGGGAGAAGGAAGTCTAGTACACTACATGGGTTTGAAAGTGTTTTAAAAGCCGTAAAAATTGTATATCTCTTTATAATCCCAATATTAGAAACGAAAAATTCATTTTTAATAATTAGTAAAAACCTTGTTTCTTTTGGAGATTTAACTTACACTTGTCTAGAACTCAAAGAATAAAGTTTTCAGGAGAAGACATATTGATGAGCTTTCAACTATTAGGTGAGTGAAGCTCCTCTAATTCTTTAGTGTTGGCCCTGTTAAATTTAATAAGCCCATGAGGTTTATCTCACCCCAACCAAGAAGGAACGCACTTAAAAACGCGGGTCAAGTTCCAAAAGCGAGGTACGGTTTGGGATTTTATAATTTAGAGTTTTTAGTCCTAGTAACAGAAAATTTGTATTTTACCCGCAAAACGTCAAATTTTCCAGAAAGAGGCGGTTGAGAGTTTCCAGGATTGAGAGGAAGCTGCATGAACAAAATTTAGAAGACATTGAGAGCTCTAATGCCTGTTTCGGAATGAGGAAAAACACTTTCCTCCAAGATTTTAAACACAGTCCTCTCTTCCAATCAAGAGGTAAGAATATTCTGATGATTTTTGGAGCCTGAATAATAATTATGAATTTTCTGAATGTACTTCTTGGTCACTATAACTTGTGTGCATTGTCACTCTATATTTGCTTGACCCTTTCTGAGTTTTCTAAGCACACTAGACATTATCACGAGCCTCAACTCTTGTCTGTTTCCAAAACCGTAAATACTCACATATTAAAATAGGCAATGATCGATACAACAGAAGTTTTAACTCTTGAGGATATGAAGTCTATGATCAAGCCACAGAGGAGGAGGATCAGGGAAGCCCTGATCTGTTCCTCGAGTCTATCTCCTATTAGCCTAATTGCTAAAAACTTCTTCTTTGAATCTGTTAAGGAACTGATCATTTCCTAGGATAGTACACTTTGGGATTTTCAATTAGTGAACTATAGACTTTGGAGATGATATCAAAGCTCAGCCCCTCAGCCTTGCTCTCAACAGAGCTTGCTAGGCGAGAGCCTTAGCCTGAAGGGCTCCTTGAGCTCTTCCTCGATGGCTCGACTGACAAGGTAATGAACAATGGCGTTGAAGGAGGATTGAGCAGTGGGAAATTTTTGTGGTGTAGAGATTTTCAGAATTTTTAGGTACAAGAGAAGGGCTGGAGAAGGGGATAAGATGAAATTAGAGATGTTTTAGGGCTTGAGAAGGATTAGAAGGAGCCTGTTCAATTTAACAAATTTGGTATGGGGTTTTGGGGTTTTGGGGTTTTGGGGTTTTGGGG